CAAAGAGTCAAATGAGTGAGCTCTGTTGTCAATATTCCTCTTCCGTTTATGATTTAGGTCAAGGGAAGAGGCTAGTGGTAGACGGAGATCAGGAAGAGTTTATTATGAGTCGGCTGGGAGTCTGGCAAATATTAACACTGGTCTGGAAGCTGACCTTGTGGCTTCGTCAGTGAGATGGTCCGGCCCAAGTACACACTCTTCTCTCTGCCCGGTGTAGGAAACGTCAACCACTCTAGATAGGCTAAACTCTAGAGTGCACGGTTCCTGATGGTGAAATGCACTATTCTAGAGTGTGTTTTAACCATTAGGTATCGTGCACTCTAGAGCTTCTTAGCCATTCTAGAGTGGTTGACGTCTGTTACACCAGCCCTTGAGAACACGTTTGGTATAGACGAACAATAACTATTTTATGAAGACCGATCATTACCCATCAAGTGTATGGTAACAAGTACAGGGGATCCAGTAGCTTCAACACACCCTGGGCCACGGTAGCCTAAATGAAAGGAGGATCAAATAACGCTTTAAAAAAAATGGTTCTACGAAACAAATGACTTCACACGACTACTTCAAAGGGAGTTCGATAGCACCTGAGAATTGTTCGAGTGATTATACCTTACCTGGCCAGAATATTTATACCGAGAGAGACAGAGAGAGAGAGAGAGAGAGAGAGAGAGAGAGAGAGAGAGAGAGGTGTTTACAGTACCCTACTATTACTGTCGCTGATAAGGGATAAAATGCTGAGATTTGGGGGGTGAGAATAATGCCAGCTTTACACGGCTCGTCTCTACCACCTGACTGATAAGAAAAGCTTGAGGACTATTATGGAATCTAAGCTTACATCATGGTTGATATTAAGAGACTAAGCTTACATGATACGTATATAGAGGTTGATATTAAGAGACTAAGCTTACATGATAATACTCCATTTGCTTGATATTAAGAGACTAAGCTTACATGATACGTATATAGATAGACAGACAATAAAGGATCTACAGTATTCTAAGCTTAATATGGTAAAGCTGTAACCACATAGGATTCTTCTGGTTATGGAAAAGTTTGAATTTACATAATAGTCGGTAAATTACTAAGGAAGAGGTCCCATTCTTTAACAGTGTGTGTGTGTAACTTGTGTAAGAGGAAGTACAGTACTGTGGCCTTATGGGAGTATTGCCTCACTGGGAATACTGATGAACGAAGTGAAATGAAAACTAGAATAAAAACCAATAGAGAGAAAAAAACGAAATAATCTGAATGGAAATACGAATAGAATGAAAATTAGAATAATAATAGAGAAAAAAAACGAAAAAAAAAAGTCCTGAACTAGTGAAAAATATCCACCTATCTAAAACAGTGGTCGAAATAGAAGTTACTGAATCAATTAACAAATAAATATCTCTATAAAATCATTGGTAACAAGATATTCAAAGGTACATGATTCTACCATCTTAAAAAAGTTAAGGAATTAGACATAAGAGACTATATATATATTACTCAACAACTACTGCTGCTATAAACTAAACACACCCAGATATCTGTATACCTGTGTAGTAATAACCTTTTTCATGAGGTAAAGACGCAAAGGGAAGCTTAAATTTCTCCCTAGACGTTTTACCAAAGATGTATAACTCTATGTATATGTAAATGTGTATCTTTACCTGGATAATACATAGTCAATACCCCCCCCTCCCCCCTCCCTCCCTCCCTCCCTCCCACCGTTAATTGGTAGGCCAGTAGAAGGTTTGCCCTCCCAATGCGTGTGTGGCTCTTCCTATGACGTCGATCACGCCATGGTGTGCAAGAAGGGGGGCTTCATATGCATGAGGCATGACGAAGTAAGGGACCTCACAGCAAATATGTTGAAGGAAATCTGCAAGGGTGTCATGGTAGAACCGACCCTCCTTCCTTTGGACGGTGAGATCTTCCAACATAGGACTTTAAACACATCTAACGAAGCCCGTGTTGACGTCAGTGCTCGAGGATTCTGGACGCGGGGACAGCGAGCTTTCTTCGACATCAGGATATTTGATCCCATGGCCGCATGTCACCGTAACCTAGCTCTCGATGCTGCACACAGGAGGAACGAGAACGACAAGAGAAGGGCATATGGGGAGAGAATTCAAAACGTTGATCAAGGCAGCTTCACTCCTTTAGTGTTCACAACTTCTGGTGGGATGGGCCCAAGTGCAAGATGTTTCTACGCCAGACTCGCGGAGGTGATCCCCGAACAGAAGCAGCAGCCCAGAAGTTACGTTACATCCTGGATGAGATGTCGACTGTCTTTCTCTCTCCTTCGGTCGGCTTTGCTCTGCCTCAGGGGAACGAGAGCTTCTGCCCTAATGCCGACAACTGCTGCAGATATTGACTATGAGGCTACAGTCACTGAATGCCACATAGATCTGCGGCTCAACTAATTCAACACAGATAGGATAGCTTCTTATGTATTAGGATATTTAATATTAAGGTAATAAAATGGTGGCGAAGGTATGGCTATTGGGGGAGGCTGGAGGCCACGTTAAAAAAAAGTCGTAGTAGTAGTAGTAGTAGTAGTACTAAGTGTAATAGTACTCACAATAATTTCAACAGTAGTAGTAATAGAGTCACGTCAAGTCAAGTTAAGTCAAAACACACTCAATGATTATACACCTCACTATACCTACCTATCCCTTACCTAAGTCTGTGGTTACTTGAGAAACTTACCTTCGCTATAGATCAAAACTAATCGACTCTAGCAAATTGCATACCTTTGGCGGGTGTATGCAAATGAGATAGGTCTTGCTGCATACACGCCCGTTGGTCATGGTAACTAAGGTGTTTCATTCTCTGGTGGGGGGGGGGGGAGATTGCCTTCGTCTTCCCTATTTGTAAATGACTCCCGTGAATAAGTGTAGTAGGTCTTCCCATTGGCTTCTTCCTCTCTATATTCATTACCTTTGCGTGTTTGGTTGTTTGGGTAGGGTAGGGTAGGGTAGGATAGGATAGGGTTATCTCAAAAGATAATCATTAGGTGTTTAATTATGTTATAACGTAATATTGCACAAATATTATATAGGTCTTACCCTACCCTACCCTACCCTACCCTACCCTACCCTAATCCAAGTTAACATCACCAACTCTTTCTACCTTTCCAGCAGATGATTGACTTCGTTACACCTGGGGGCCGCTCTTGACCTCACCTGTACTACGGGAGCACCTTAACCTCGACAGACTCCCGCCACTGAGACTTTCGCCACTGTCAGCAAGGTCAGGGTAGAGTACAACAACACTATATAACTCAGACAGCCCTTAAACTACCATACACTACCTCCCTTAACACCGAAAAGTAAGTACCTCTTCCTCTTCTACTTCTTCTTCGCCTTCTTCTTCGCCTTCTTCTTCGCCTTCTTCTTCGTTTGATCTGTCTAATTTGTAGAGTACAGTTCCCCCTCTGAAGTTCTTCCATCTCTCCTTCTGTACCACGAACCCCGGGATTCAGATTCGTGAACCCGAAGCATTTATGGACAGAATAATACATCGGTGTTTTGTTTTATATATTATTCTTTCATTCTTTACCGTAAAATACATCACTTTATTCTTATTCTTAGTTTTATTATTAAATATTACACCAACTTGATCCGGGTTCCAATTTCTTCACGTAATATTCAGTTGTATAAGAAACTTTCACTACCCCATTCTGAATATGGACTTGACACATGTATGATAGGGTATTATTGATCGTGGCTACAAGTGCTGATCTAGAACGGAACTGTTGCTGGCATTGATTACATTCTAAACACGTCAGATGTGCAACTTGGGCTGACAACTGGCCCCTTTGTTTGCTGTTTAACAAAGACCAACAGAGTTCGTTTGCTCCGGTTACTGTGTCAACAAGGCCGCCTTAAAGCTGTGAACATTGAAATTGTTTACCTAGACGTTGTCAATGGTCGTGAAGCCCTTGGGGATTTGGGACGAATTCTAAGGTGTTCATGGCTTAAGATGTAGAGAGATTAAACCTACATCACCGCCTCACATTATGTAGTGTAAAAGAATGGTATTACTATGTGTATAAACTCCTTGAGGTCTGTGTTGAACTAAGGATGTCAACACTCGTATTATAAATGAACTCCAATATGAATGACCCAATGACAGTATTTTTTCTATACACTTTCATCCATCATTCACGTAATAACATGATTCAGAAGACGATAAAAAAATAAATGAAATCAAACAAAGAAATTATATCTAAGAAACTATTCGTTACTACCACGTAAAATAATCATAATACATAAGTAGTCACTCAGCCTACCTCTCCTAACACTACCCAGAAGAAACCCCGTCGTAGCAAATGTACCAAAATCATGTAATTTATTTGTGTTTATGAACTTTCAAAACATAAATATTAGCTTGATATGCAAATTAAACTGACTGAGCTTGGTTCTTATACACACACTAGCTGTACGGATGACGGGAGTTTAGTTAAGTTAGCATGACAAGAGACCCTCAGTTGGTTTCATTCTTTTTAATAATATAATGCTTCTATTTGTGTAAGGTAATGACTATTGAAATTATGTGGGGTTTTTTTTTATTGGATCATTATTAAATAGCTCTTGTAATAATATCAGTTTAACCCTTTGACGATGATGATTTAACCCTTTGAATATGATGATTTAACCCTTTGATGACGATGATTTAACCCTTTGATGACGATGATTTAACCCTTTGATGACGATGATTTAACCCTTTGAATATGATGATTTAACCCTTTGATGACGATGATTTAACCCTTTGATGACGATGATTTAACCCTTTGAGGACGATGATTTAACCCTTTGAGGACGATGATTTAACCCTTTGAGGACGATTATTTAACCCTTTGAGGACGATGATTTAACCCTTTGAGGACAATCATTTAACCCTCCATGACTCAAAGGGTTAAACGAACCATTCCATTTATATTAACGAAGACATGTCTATTGAGGGTTATTATACACAACTGTTTATATAATAATGACTTTTTCTTGCAGACATGAATCGTTTTGTAACCGCTCTGGCTCTGGGTAAAGTATAATTTTATTCATTCCAGTTAATATTTCCCCCAAAACAATATAATAATGTCTATGTATGATAAATATTATATCTTGAAAGTTAATTATAGTCGTGAAGTTGATAAAAATGATGATATATGCATAAATAAATGAATGTGGCGGTGATGTCTCAAGCTGTACTGGTTATCTTTCACTACAGCTCTGGTGGCAGTAGGTACAGGCGGTCAGGTCATACCAGGGTACAACTATGGCGCTCCCGGCAATGGTGACCCACTGCTCGCTGCTGCCTCCAGTGTTGATGACGTACAGGTGGACCCTCTCCAGGTGTGTTGTGGGGGTGGGGAGTGTGTGTGTGTGTGTGTGTGTAAGGAGTTGATAATTAAGCAAAGTGAATTGTTATAACCTTTCAGGTAACATTAGGTCAGTCAGCCATGTTACTCCAGTACTCACACTTATTATCTATAGGTGTTAGCTGAGGCAATCCCCGGCGGCGGCGTCCCTGGTGAAGACTACCCGATCCTGGCCTCTGTACCCGACACCGGCTTCTCCTGCGAGCAACAGGAGTTCCCAGGTTACTTCGCTGACACCGCCGACGAGGCCGGCTGCCAGGTCTTCCACATCTGTCAGTTCGACGGCCGCCAGGACTCCTTCCTGTGTCCCAACGGCACCATCTTCAACCAGCAGTACTTCGTGTGTGACTGGTGGTTCAACGTGGACTGTGCCGCCTCACAACAGTTCTTCGGCCTCAACGCTGAGATCGGCAAAGTGCCTGAAGATAATGAGGCCGCCGCATCTGACCGATCACTCTCCACCAGCTACGGGGCACCACAACAGCAGAGTGTCGCCGCCCCCAACAGGCTGTACAACACACCTGGCCGACTGTGAGCCTCCCCCTACACCCTCCCCCCCCCGCCACCCATACTTATGACGACTCCTAAGACAGACCAATATCTTCAAACCACCAATTAGTATCATAGAACAACCATTTAATACCTTTCACTAAATGCTGTATTTATTTGACTATATATTTATTCGAAATAAATTTATGCAATGAATAACTTCTTTGGACTTCCTTAAAATAGTGGTATGAATGTCGGCCAAAGAGCTACCAGGCGAGTGAGCTCCTCCGGCCGGTATACACTGTACTGCGACCGCGTTACATTTCACTAGTTCACTTTCTGTTGTCAGTCACCAGTGGAGCTTTATACTGGAGCCTTATACTGGAGCTTTATACTGGAGCCTTATACTGGAGCTTTATACTGGAGCCTTATACTGGAGCTTTATACTGGAGCCTTATACTGGAGCTTTATACAGGAACTTTATACAGGAGCTTTATACTGGAGCTTTATACTGGAGCCTTATACTGGAGCCTTATACTGGAGCTTTATACTGGAGCCTTATACTGAAGCTTTATACTGGAGCTTTATACTGGAGCCTTATACTGGAGCTTTATACTGGAGCCTTATACTGGAGCCTTATACTGGAGCTTTATACTGGAGCTTTATACTGGCGCTTTATACTAAGTCATAAGTCTATTGTGGCGAAATTGAAGTGGATATTGTGGTAACACTTCCTGCTCTTCTTCCTCTTCCACATCTTCCTCCTTCACATCACCATCCTTCACCACATCACCATCATTCACCACATCACCATCATTCACCACATCACCATCATTCACCACATCACCATCCTTCACCACATCCCATACACCCACAATGACCCAGGCGTTGACAGCTACAAAATCAAAACAAACTAACCACATCTCATAAAACGTAATAGCAAAAACGCATTAAATTAAACTACCGCTGTAAACAAGTGTTCTTATCGCTATTGGAAAACCTGTATAACTGCAACACGGTAGTCGTAATAAAATCATCAGCTACACGTGGTAATTGCACTCACACCTGGTTTATCTGTGTTTACCTGTACGATGCTAATTATTATATAGACGTTCCCACCTGGTTTACGAGTTACCTGTACGATGTTAATTATTATATAGACGTTCCCTTAATTCTCACCTGGTTTACCTGTGTTTACCTGTACGATGCTAATTATTATATAGACGTTCCCTTAATTCCCACCTGGTTTACCTGTGTTTACCTGTACGATGCTAATTATTATATAGACGTTCCCTTAATTCTCACCTGGTTTACGAGTTACCTGTACGATGTTAATTATTATATAGACGTTCCCTTAATTCTCACCTGGTTTACCTGTGTTTACCTGTACGATGCTAATTATTACATAGACGTTCCCACCACCTGGTTTACCTGTGTTACCTGTACGATGCTAATTATTATATAGATGTTCCCCACCTGGTTTTACGAGAGTTACCTGTGATGTTAATTATTATAGACGTTCCCCACCTGGTTTTACCTGTGATGCTAATTATTATATAGATGTTCCCTTAATTCTCACCTGGTTTACCTGTGTTTACCTGTACGATGCTAATTATTACATAGACGTTTTTTTAATCCCTTTAGCTTAATTTCCTTTTCCTTCACATTACTGCCTATTTTTTCTATCTTCTTTGTGTTTTCTTATACATTCGGTTGTGCTGTACCTTCTCCTCTCTTTTGTTCCTCTCCTGTGTGTGTGTGTCTGTGTGTTTGTCTGACACACACCTCTTACTGTTAATGCAGGTAGACGGCCATTGAGACAGGTACGGAGGCAGACGGGGGTAATCTATTGAGAGAGAGATGTTAACATAAGTCAACGTATAAGACCACCCACACATAACATTACCTTCACAAAACACAAACAAAGGGAACCAAATATAAACTCAACTCATTATAACATTAAATATCCAAACAACAGCTTCTATGTAAACTTTCAGTGTATAATTATCCTTCTTTAGTGATTATTATACATATAAATACGTATTCATAACTGGAGCTTCATAAAGTTAAATAATTTCATTGTGGAGTATAATATTATGGTGTTTATGTCCCGGGTGAAAACAAAAGCATATCACCCCCTGGTACTTATAGTTAAACCGTATCGCATCCTATAGTTAATGTAGTTCAACACTAAATAAACTCTTCGATCCTCAAATACCAGATGAAAACAAAAGTATATCGACTCCTGGTACTTATAGTTAAACCGTATTGTATCCTATAGTCAATGGAGTTCAACCCTCTATCCAAACTCCCCGATCCTCAGCACCCAAATAGAAAACAAAAGCACATCAACCCTTCTCCAGTTACTTATAATCAAACCTGAGCTTAAATGAATCTTCAATAAGCTATAATTGAGCGCTGGTATATAATTACATATAATTACAAACGATTAGCGAGTACGGTTACGGTAGAACGCTCCGCCCACAGAATGAAAAGTGATACGTGGAAATCGATCACAGACTAGAGGCATGAATCGCTTAAAATACGGTACAGCGAACGTATTTAATAGGGGTTTAAGCTCTCATAGACTAAAACATAAGTTCTTTTCCTTGCTTATACGAGTTGACTTAGCCCCAAATCAGACTCCCCCAAAGAAGATAAACGAATTCTAAAAAAAAAGGTGAACTGTTAGCGGAGATTAATTCAAGATTCTTTTCCATTTACAGGGAAGAGGAGAGTCGGGAATGCTAAGTCTATCGGGGAATTTAATACGTGATGGAAATACAAGTGTGGATATTCGAGTTTGTCAGACGGAGAGAGAGAATATTACTAGGTTAAAAATATAGAATAAAAATCTCTATTCCTGTGTGTGTGTGTGTGTGTGTGTGTGTGTGTGTGTGTGTGTGTGAGCCAGGTTGGACAAACACACACACAAGTCCATTTTTGTAGCCTTGTTTACCTCAGTCTGTACACACACAGGTAACTACGACTTTTATGGTAGTGTAGGTAAGTTATGGTAATGCTTGTTATAGTGGTGGTGGTGTGGTAGTGGTGGTTATGGTGGTGGTGGGGGTGGTAGTGGTGTGGTTATGACTAATTGGGGGTGGTAGTAGTGGTGGGGAATTGGTAGTGGTGGTTATGGTGTGGGGGTGAAAGTAGTGAGTGGTTATGGTGAGGTGGGGTGGTAGTGGTGGTTATAGTGGTGGTGGGGTAGTATGGTGGTTATGGTGGTGGGGGTGGTGAGGTGGTGGTTATGGTGGTGGAATTGGTGGTGGTGGTTATAGTGGTGGTGGGAGTTGGTGGTGGTGGTTATGGTGGTGGTGGGGTTGGTAGTGGTGGTTATGGTGGTGGTGGGGTGGTAGTGGTGGTTTATAGTGGTGGTGGAGTTGGTGGTGGTGGTTATAGTGGTGGTGGGGTGGTAGTGGTGGTTATGGTGGTGGGGAATTGGTAGTGGTGGTTATGGTGGTGGTGGTGTGGTAGTGGTGGTTATAGTGGTGGTGGGGGTGGTAGTGGTGGTTATAGTGGTGGTGGAATTGGTAGTGGTGGTTATAGTGGTGGTGGGGGTGGTAGTGGTGGTTGCTATTAATTGGTGGTGGGGGTGGTAGTGGTGGTTATGGTGGTGGGGAATTGGTGGTGGTGGTTATGTGGTGGTGGTGGGGAGTTGGTGGTGGTGGTTATGGTGGTGGTGGGGGTGGTGAGTGGTGGTTATAATTGGTGGTGGAGTTGGTAATTGGTGGTTATGGTGGTGGTGGGGAATTGGTAGTGGTGGACATAGTGGTGGTGGGGAATTGGTAGTGGTGGTTATAGTGGTGGTAGAAATTGGTAGTGGTGGTTGTAATTGGTGGAATTGGTAGTGGTGGTTATGGTGGTGGGGACAGAGTGTGGTTCCTTGTTTTAGTCAGGTGAAATTTGTGTTTTTTGAGCTAAATTATGGATGTTTTTAGTAGGAGGAGGAAGAGGAGTAGTAGGTGGGGGGAGGAGGTGGAGGGGAAGGAGGAGGGGAAGGATAAAGGGAGGAGGTGGAGGATAGGACGAGGAGGGGAAGGAGGAGGTGGGGGGAGGAGGTGGAGGGGAAGGAGGAGGGGAAGGATAAAGGGAGGAGGTGGAGGATAGGACGAGGAGGGGAAGGAGGAGGGGAAGGAGGAGGAGGAGGAAGATAGAAGGAAGTGGAAGAAGAGGAGGAGGTAAAAGTCACATTTAAAACACTTATCAAAACATTCAAGTGAATTGTTAACAAAAAAACTTCTAAAAAAGTTCCATTAACCTAACCTAACCTAACCTAACCAATCACCCCTCAGAACCTCCATACAAAACAAAGAAACATTCGACCTGGCTTAAAATGAATGTTACATAGATATTCTTTTAACATTCACGTGTCACTGGTAGGCTTGTGGGGGAAGGGAGGGGAGGGGGGGGTTGAGTTGGCTTTCTTACGAGGTATATGCTGACCTGGCCTGACCTACTTATAAGGGTATACTAGGTTAGTCTTGTTGACGCTCCTTACACGTGCGGGGTATAACCAAGTCTGTATAAATTATACTTTTTTTAAAAGGTGAAATTATCGAATATATTTTTTAACAGAAACGTAGGTATTTTTTTTTTTACTTTGGTGTTAAATAAAATAGTTTGGGAAATATTAATATGTTACTTTCCATGTTGATATTATTTTAACTGTAAATGTTTATAATATACAACAATAGCATATATAACAACTATCATTATAAATACATTATATAATCACTAACTAACAAACCTATATTAGAGTTTAATATTCATCTAAGATCACCATGTTATAATTTTCATATAGAGTTTATCATAAAATATTGCTTATAAAAACACATTCCCTGAAAAAGTAAAAATCAAATAAAAATTGTCGTGTTTACTCCCAGACAAGAGAGCGAGAACTCACACACGCTTCACAACCTGGGGAAAAATTCTCCTGTCAATATTATGTCATTCGAGAGTGCGATCAGGATGGATTTAACACTAAGCATAGGCGATCGAACTCTTTGGGCTACAGGACTTGTGTGTGTGTGTGTGTGTGTGTTTGTGTGTGTTTGTGTGTGTGTGTTTGTGTGTGTGTGTGTGTGTGTGTGTGTGTGTGTGTTCAAGTCCGTTGGATAGGTTAGGGATATATTAGGCATCAACGATTGACAATGGATAGAAATATAATCTCTCTGTTCTTACCCAATCAGCTCACAGTGACGTTCCTCGATGCTCAGATGTTTATGTTCTCAGCCAATCAGCTCACAGTGAAGTTCCTCGATGCTCAGATGTTTATATTCTCATCCAATCAGCTCACAGTGACGTTCCTCGATATTCAGATGTTTATATTCTCATCCAATCAGCTCACAGCTCACAGTGAAGTTCCTCGATGCTCAGATGTATATATTCTCAGCCAATCAGCTCACAGTGAAGTTCCTCGATGCTCAGGTGTTTATATTCTCATCCAATCAGCTCACAGTGAAGTTCCTCGATGCTCAGATGTTTATATTCTCATCCAATCAGCTCACAGTGAAGTTCCTCGATGCTCAGGTGTTTATATTCTCATCCAATCAGCTCACAGTGAAGTTCCTCGATGCTCAGATGTTTATATTCTCATCCAATCAGCTCACAGTGAAGTTCCTCGATGCTCAGATGTTTATATTCTCATCCAATCAGCTCACAGTGAAGTTCCTCGATGCTCAGATGTTTATATTCTCATCCAATCAGCTCACAGTGAAGTTCCTCGATGCTCAGATGTATATATTCTCAGCCAATCAGCTCAGGGCGGCGCTCTTAGACAATGTCCACAAAGATCTTACGTGAAAGAAAAAGAATTGAAGCAGTTCTGTTGAGGAAGACTTAAATACAGTACCTTTCACTCTGTCTTTTTTCCTGTGTGACTGTTTGGCTTCTCATGTCTCCCCTTTCCCTCATCCCCTTCACCTCACCCCTCCTTCCTCACCCCTTCCCCTCACCCCTCCTCTCCACCTCACCATCAGCCCTCCTATCCTCCCCCTCCACCTTCACCCCTCACCCCTTCCCTCACTTCTCACCTCTCACTCCTCACCCTTTCCCTCTCCTCTCACCCCTCCTCCTCCCTCACCTCCTCACCCTTTCCCCATCACCCTTCACCCCTCTCTCCCCCTCTCCCTCCCACTCCTCACCCCTTCCTAACTATTAATAACTAATGACTTATATTTTCTCTATAATTACCTACAAACGCAACTCAAAAACACAGATAAATTATATCATTTTTCTCCTTCATTATTTTACCTTTAATAAACAATAACGATATTCTACTTACCTTAACAAATACAGTTTTATATGTTATTTTTTTCAGGTAAATAATAATCTCAAAGGTAAATTAGTTCCCCCTCTTATACACAGGTAACTTGATGTGTGTTACCTGTGTGTATATACGTATTGTTTTAATGACCATAAAGATACAGGGAAAAATACAGTTTAAAAGACTGTAATGTGATATACTGAGTCAACATCACTATTTCATAATGTATTGTAATATCTTGTACCCACAGTTAGCATAAACAATGATTTTTCTCTCTATAAAACTCAAATGAAATTCTTACCATCATGTATTTAATATATTCAAGGACTTTTCTTTCTATTATTAATTATTTAACAAAAAAAAAACATCATTGGGAATATACGTATAATAACCAGGTATATTTTAACACACATATCACAGATATTTCATTAATTACCTCACCTGTAATTAACTCTAATCCTTATTGGTTAAACTTGACACAACAAAATCAAGGTATTGACCACCACCACCAGCGTATTATAAAAGGTTCGTATCTCCCGCTAGTAACCAGATCACTTCACTCGGTCGCTTACTATACCAATACGCAGAATGATGAGGCAAATACTTCTGTCTACCTGTTGATTAGCGATGATAAATTATGTAAAGACGAGACAGGTAAGTTTGGGGGGGGTTATGTGATGCCGAATATTGTTTTAAGACAGACGTTAATCTAATCGATACCTGACCTAACTAATCTAGCTTAATTTAACCTAACCTTACCTAATTATCCGCCATGTTATCGGTGAGAGGAACATTTACATATATAAAGTTTGATTCAAAATGTATATTAAAAGATAAGGGTAATATAGGCAGGTTTTATTAGCAGATTACAGCTATTGATATGTATTACAGATTTATATATTAGGTATCGGGTATATTTAGGTCGTATAAATAGAGTTAATAGATAGTTTGCGAGTACAGCAATATATGTACAGCAGAAGCTCCAGTGTAGAAGATGAAGACTGAATGAACTGATGGAAGAGAAAATTTAACAATAAGTTTGTCTCTGTTGAGGAGTGGAGGAGGAGAGCGATGATACGGAAACTTTAGAGATATAGATCATGTCGGGGCTGACGAACACCTGTGATGGGGCTGGGGTGGTGCTGGGGGGGAGTTAGGACCTGTTGGGGCTGTTGTAGAGCTGAGAAGGAGGTGGTGCTTGACGCTGCTGGGGGGCGCCGTACAGCTGGCTGGGCGCCACCACATCACTGCGGGAGGAAGCGTCTTCAGGGATCTTGCCGATCTCAGCGTTGAGGCTACGGAACTGTTCCGAGGCGGCACAGTCCACGTTGAACCACCAGTCACACACGAAGTACTGCTGGTTGAAGATGGTGCCGTTGGGACACAGGAAGGAGTCCTGGCGGCCGTCGAACTGACAGATGTGGAAGACCTGGCAGCCGGCCTCGTCGGCGGTGTCAGCGAAGTAACCTGGGAACTCCTGTTGCTCGCAGGAGAAGCCGGTGTCGGGTACAGAGGCCAGGATCGGGTAGTCTTCACCAGGGACGCCGCCGCCGGGGATGAGGGCGGCCAGGGCGGCTATGGGGTCTTGTTCTAAGCTCGGTTGTCGCTGTCCTCACGTCTGGGGCGTTGTAGGAGCAACTGGGAGGCGCCGCAAGTATCCCTGAGCCTGACATGTTTCCCCAGGGCTACAGGAGAGGAAGGGGGGGTGGATTAGTTATCAACCAAATGTAATGTCTTCAACCCACACTAACATTATGGTAACATTTGTTTAGTATTTACAGAATATCGTGAATTTGAAAGCATTGGATCAGCGGACACAGGAGCAGAAGTCAGTAATATCGAGGAAGAACAAGAGTCTTACCCAGGAGAAGGATGATTGAGTTGGCCATTATGGGGAGAGAGAGAAGCTGGGAGGGATGTAGTGCTGGTGGAGAGGCTGTGGTTGGCACTGTGCTGCTGCAGGTGTTGGCATCGTTTTATAGTGCCTCGCTGCACCTTTCCCTGGCTGAGTCAAGGTTGATCCAGATGACCGACACTCAGATCAGTGTGTGTGTGTGTGTGTGTGTGTGTGTGCGTGTGTGCGTGTGTGTGTGTGTGTGTTCAGTGTAGACGTTCCTTATTGTTTCGTGTTGTCTCCCCTTTCACCCTCATGACCAGAGCTGACCAGGACGGAGCACAGGAAGGCAATCATCATTAACCCCTTGAGTACGATGAGTTAAACCCCTTGAGTACGATGAATTAAACCACTTGACTACGATGAGTTAAACCCCTTGAGTACGATGAATTAAACCACTTGAGTACGATGAATTAATCCCCTTGAGTACGATGCATAAGCCCCTTGAGTACGACAAGGTTGAAGCCTTGGTGCGATGAATTAAACCACTTGAGTACCATGAGTTCACAAACCCCTTGAGTACGATAATTAATCATCAAACTACAGGGCATTTCAACATAGTGACAGTGCAAGAAGTAGTATTTACTGGGAGTGAACACACTGGTTTATTACAAGTTATTGATAATTTTTACAATGGTTGGGACTGGGCTGTTCTTATAGCGATCAGTTCGTGCACGTATGGGCTGGATGCGGTTGTGGTGTCGAACAGCAATTCTCGGGCGAGGGATCTCAGGTGGTAGTAGGAGCCGGTGTCGAGGATGGTGCAGAAGCTTCTTACCAAATTTGCAGATGAGGTCGTGGTGATGGTCAGTGAGAGTCGAAAGGGTCAGTGTGTTGAGCGCTTCTTGATATGTGGAGTAGGAAGGGGAGAGAATAATCTTGCATGCCCTCTTTTGCACTTTTTCTAGGTGTTTACGTTGTGTGGCATTTAGGGAGGAAGACCAGGTAGGGGAGGCATAGGTGAGCTTGGGAAGTATGAATGTTGAGTAAACACTGAGGAGCTCGTGTGCAGGAACTCCGAGGGACTTGAGTCGGCGGAGGATGTGGAGACGTTGTCATTGAAGATTTACTACAGGATGATCTGACGTAGCTACCTGACGCAGCTAACTAACGCACCTATCTAACGCAACCCTCATGTAGTAACAACAGTTCAGTCACACCCCAATAAGGTAGAGGGGAGGGGGGTGGCTGTTATAGGGAGGCAAGCAGGTCAGACTCCGCAACACAACACTTGAGAATGTAAACAAAAGAGGTGAATGTTATATAATATTAACATAACAACTAACATCTTTTAACACAACACACGAGTCGTATCTATGTCTCTAAACATGTCAACATAAACAGTTTAATATGGGTGTCTATAGCTTAACAATGATGGTCTTTTCATAGGTAGTAATGATAGATGATTAACTTCAGTAACTAAGGTCTTTAATTATGTATTCTAGGTCATATAAAAACACTAATACGATAAAAAAAATAAGAGAGATATATGTCTTACCTTTACCTGACTTAATTATTATACACACCTGTACTGTTTACATACCTGTTGAATCAATGTATACCTGTAGGATAAATTGACTGAATTTATGTATCCTATGAAGTATTACCGTAATGTTTTCTGGGGTATAGGATGGTTGTGTTTGTGTATGTGTTTGTGCTTTTGTGTAAGGAGGTATTTTATGTAAAGTCATTGTGTTTATAGTGTTTACTTATTTAGTTTTTCTTTTTTGTATTTCTAACTTTAAATAGGAAAAAAATATATATATATAAACTGTACATTATTTAGTATATCGGATATACTGTATATTATTTAGTATACCGGACCATATAACTTTAGTGAAACAGGAATCACCCAAACAATAACGTAATTAATAGTTTTTATCCGGATTATATTTAGAAACAGAAAAAAAACATAATGTAATATAACCATAAGAAACATTATTGATTCTGTTGACTCTAATCCTAAATCTCTGACTTTTGTTATTCAAGAAATATTTTAATGAGATTCTTTTGTTTTTCATCGAGTCAGAGGCAACGATATGGTAAGATGGGAGAAGATTGAATGGCTATAAGACATGGTGTTATATCTCTTCTTATCGTCGATGGCTGCTCACACAAACCTTTAGGAGGTGTTATTCTTCTCGCTGGATCACACTGCTGGCCACAACAGCTTACTTGTGGCATTTTATCAACAAGTTAGTATAGGTGTGTCACGCAGAGGGATGAAAACAAAATGGTTGACTTGATCTTCGGTTTTAACCCATAATGCATTGCGGTAAACAAACGGTGACGGTGTTTACTCGTGGATGTATTTGGGACGTTCTTCTTTATAAGTTTGTGAGGATAAGACAGACTATATCAATATATCATGCGTATATTTAATTAAATACATAAATAGCTACATAAGACTGGATATATAAATTACCATAATAAATCTACCATTATTTGTACATAGAACAATGAAGAGCAAAATAAATTCTAAGAAAAATATAAATTCTAAGCAATATAGCTTTGTACAGCAGTAGCTCAAACTCTTAAGCTAAGTGTAAACTGGAAAATAGTTCAAATAACTCCTGATATATATGTTCCTGTGTTTACTCTTACTGAGGGAGTGTTAGGTAGAGAAGTTACAGTCGAGTTAGAATCTGTTGAAGCCGTAGTAGATCTATGCCGAGGCTGGAGTTGATTTAGGACCTGTTGGGGCTGTTGTAGAGCTGAGAAGGAGGTGGTGCTTGACGCTGCTGGGGGGCGCCGTACAGCTGGCTGGGCGCCACCACATCACTGCGGGAGGAAGCGTCTTCAGGGATCTTGCCGATCTCAGCGTTGAGGCTACGGAACTGTTCCGAGGCGGCACAGTCCACGTTGAACCACCAGTCACACACGAAGTACTGCTGGTTGAAGATGGTGCCGTTGGGACACAGGAAGGAGTCCTGGCGGCCGTCGAACTGACAGATGTGGAAGACCTGGCAGCCGGCCTCGTCGGCGGTGTCAGCGAAGTAACCTGGGAACTCCTGTTGCTCGCAGGAGAAGCCGGTGTCGGGTACAGAGGCCAGGATCGGGTAGTCTTCACCAGGGACGCCGCCGCCGGGGATGAGGGCGGCCAGGGCGGCTATGGGGTCTTGTTCTAGCTCGGTTGTCGCTGTCCTCACGTCTGGGGCGTTGTAGGAGTAACTGGGAGGCGCCGGCAAGTATCCCTGTTGAGCCTGACATGTTCCCAGCAGGGCTGAGAGAAGGCAAATGAGGGGCTAATATTAATAACATCATGGGAGGTGTTAGGACACTACAGTATACTATATGAGACAATATTTTAACAACGTTGTATTCAAGTGACAAAACTCAATACATGGAAGAGCTCTAATGATAAAAGGTTTAATGAGAGACTGAACCTGATTGTTAGCAAGACAGTTTTCGCTCCACTAACCCAGGGCGAGCAGCATCATGGTGTTGGCCATCGTGAGGAGGGAAGGAAGGAACTGAGTCGAGGTAAATGAGAAGCTGTGTTTAGTGCAGTACTGTGTTGGTGGTGTGAGCCGACACAGCTTTATAGCGCCTCGCTGGTACCTTTCTCTGGCTCCGTCAAGGCTGATCCAGAAAACAGTGATCGAGGTGACCAGAGGATAGCGGCCGCAGCCCAGATGTTTCACAACACTTTGTTTAGTCCCTCTCCCTCGCCCCTACACCCAACACTAAGTGACGCTGCCAATTTAGGGCACAGCTGTTGCGTAATGTTTCCTCTGCTGCTCGACCTCGCCAGAAGAGTCGCTGCCGAGGCTGATGACTTACACGATATTGACGGATCTAGACTTTCCTGTACCCTGGCAGCTCCTCCGCCTGTATCCAAGGAACTCAAGACACATTCCCAGGGTAGTTCTCTCCCTCTCACCTAGCATAAACTGACCTACAACTTGCATAAATAAACAATTACCTTTGGAATTCACGCACATCACTTGTTTCATTATAACCTGTGAAATTATCAATAGCTCATAAAATTAACCACTAAGGTCCATAATTATACACACAACCTAACCTAACCTAACCTAACCTTTACTGGATAGCTATATGATGGAAGCCTCGTATTGGCCAAGAGATTCGGTGTTTAGTTTATTTAATGGAGGCGAATGTTGACACCGGGTACACTGGGTGTTGAATGGTCGGGAAAAATGACTAATTTGACATTGATGGAGGAAAACCGGCCATTCTTACACTGGTGCCATTGATGGAGGAAAACCGGCCATGCTTACACTGTTGCCATTGTTGCCATTAAGTAACGACTGGACAAGCACTGGGTGGACTAAAATGTCGTGTTTTACCCAATTATGAACTATTAACGTCTTTGAGAGCACTATTTACTAGCCATTTAGTAAGCTTGAAAACATTTGATTGGCCATCTAGAAAGCTTAATTTCCTGGCCAATTAGAGAGCTTAAATTCCTAACCAATCAGAGAACATATACCAATCTACCGAGAAGTATGTTACGTCTATGTTCAAGAGGAGGAGATTGAAAGTCGAAGATCCAACTGAACTATAAACATCAGGGTGGAATCTCGACTTTATTGACAAGGTAAAGTTGGTGAGGCGCGCGACTCATGCTCATTGCTCTTAAAAAAACAACAACGAGTTTTGGTTTTTTACTCTCCTCGCTACAAAAGCCCGCGAAAGTGATCAGTGATTGACGAAATAATACAAACACGTTGAAAGGTGATTAGGGAACATAAATATAAAAAAAAAAAAATTCTATTCAGCTTAAATATACCACATAGAATTAAAGCATACACAGAGAATATCATTGGAACATTATTGACTTATTTTCTGATGCAATTAAATATACCACATAGAATTAAAGCATACACAGAGAATATCATTGGAACATTATTGACTTATTTTCTGATGCAATTAAATATACCACATAGAATTAAAGCATCATTGAAACATTACTTCTCACCGAATGCTTTGATAAACGCGGTGAAAACTAACACAAATAAATAACACTTTCCATTGTCATTTCCCTTACTATCGAGTTACCTACAAGAAACGTGCCATAAGCCCTGCCTTCTCTTAGCCACAGACCACTCAGGTAATCAACATTGACTTAGCTTATTTGTGTAGCCAACTATACCAAGAATGGATCGCTTCCTACAACGTGTTCTTAGGTGAGTGTCTAGTGACTGCAAATTAAGATCATGGCTCGAGGGAGGGGTTTTTTGTGGGGGGAGGTGGAGGGTTTTTGTCAATGATTTAACCCTTTGAGTTCTGAAGGGGGTTAAAAATCATAATTGTCAAAGGGTTAAATCATAGTTGTCAAAGGGTTAAATTATCGTCATCAAAGGTGTTAAATCATCGTCCTCAAAGGGTTAAATCATCGTCATCAAAGGGTTAAATCATCGTCATTAAAGGGTTAAGTCATCGTCATCAAAGGGTTAAATCATCGTCATCAAAGGGTTAAATCATCGTCCTCAAAGGGTTAAATCATAGTCGGCAAAGGGTTAAATCATCGGCCTCAAAGGGTTAAATCATCGTCCTCAAAGGGTTAAATCATCGTCCTCAAAGGGTTAAATCATCGTCATTAAAGGGTTAAATCACCGTCATCAAAGGGTTAAATCATCGTCATCAAAGGGTTAAATCATCGTCCTCAAAAGGTTAAATCATAGTCATCAAAGGGTTAAATCATCGTCATCAAAGGGTTAAATCATCGTCATCAAAGGGTAAATCAAGACAGAGTTGGGTATATATATATAACCATTTTGATGAATTATGGTATGGTATGGTATGGTATGGTATGGTATGGTATGGTATGGTGTGGTATGGTATGGTATGGTATGGTATGGTATGGTATGGTATGGTATGGTATGGTATGGTATGGTAAATGGTGTGGTGGGTGGATGGTATGGTGGTATGGTGTATGGTATGGGTATGATATGGTATGGTATGGTGTGGTATGTAGTGGTACGGTATGGTATGTGGTATGGTATGGTGTGGTAGTGGTATGGTGTTGGTGTGGTTGATGGTATGGTATGGTGTGGTATGGTATGGTATGGTATGGTATGTATGGTGTGGTAGTGGTATGGTATGGTATGGTATGGTATGGTATGGTATGTATGGTATGTGTGGTGTGGTATGGTATGGTATGTATGTGGTATGGTATGGTATGGTATGGTATGGTGTGGGTATGAGTGTGGTATGGTATGGTTGTGGTATGGTATGGGATGGTATGGTATGGTTGAGGAGGTATGGTATGGTATGGTGGTTAAAAGGTTTGGTAAATGGTATGTTAGTAGGTATGATATGGTATGGTATGGTATGGGGGGGGTGGTGGTGGATGGTAGGTGGTGGTGTGGTGTGGTATGGTATGGTATGGGGTATGGTGTGGTATGGTATGGTATGGTGTGGTATGGTAACTGGCATTACAAACCACCATTTATCCCACAACATCAAAAAAATTCTTCCTATAATCTTCTTGAAACATTTTCTTCCATCTCCTCAAGAGAACTCCTAAGAGACACAAATGCTATTACAGAAATCACTTTGGGGGTTAAAGAGACGAGCTAGTAGCCACGGGTCTATTGTCATGAGCTAGTAGGAGGTAAATATAGTGGATATAAGTAAAATAGCCACTACTAGTCAGGTCTTTTACTATTTGGTGTGGTTATGATAGTGTGGTGCGCCTAATGCTTTGTAAACACAGGGAAATTCCACGTAAAATTAATGAGTTTTTTTTTTTTTTTTAACACGTGATTTTAATGTTAGTGTCCAGGGTTCTGTAGCACGTAAGATCAACAGCAGACTGACAACACATCATTGTCTATTTCACTGCTTGGGGTTGGTAAGTGTATGTATGTATGTATGTATGTCAATGGTAAAATGCATTACCTGTTATGTGTGGATTTTGTCAGTGTTTTGTGTATATACTGAGTGTGCTGTGAAGCCCCCAAAGAGAGAGACGTGGAATAAAAAAGAGATTAATTATATTTGTTCTGTAAAAATAATTCTTAATTCCGATACTTAACAACCCAGAATTAACTACTAAATACAAAACAACAATAATAACAGTGAGAATTTGTAAGGTACAGTATCGCTTCACGTAATGTATACTGTATTGTCACCAAAGGATTCATTATCATAACTACTTTTTCCTGTACCTAAAAACATCACCAGTCAGAGATTTTATTTGATGGTCCTAAGACACAAGTTTGTTTCCGGTGTGTTTACATGTGTGGTATGGTAAGCCCCGCTGCCTTGTAATGCTCCCTCAGCTTCCGTTATCAGTGAGTCACTCTGGTGCGTCACGTCAAGAGGTTCATAAGATATACTCGTGGGTGTAGGTTTGACAGTGTTATTTGCACATAAATATGGATACAGTTATTTCGGCATATAAATATAAATGGACGATCTGAAGTCGAATTCGCTTGTCGTGCGGAGAGGAACAGATGAGGGGAAGGTTTGCTAATCATTCATTCGTAAAGGAAATAAAGCGTCCAGTTGAAGGCGAGACATTCTAGACGACGAGAACGACAATGCAATTAGAGTGCACATGGCGACAGGTGCTGCACAACTGGATTGAAATTAGACCTATGATGGGGCTGGGGTGGTGCTGGAGGGATGTTAGAACCTGTTGGGGCTGTTGTAGAGCTGAGAAGGAGGTGGTGCTTGACGCTGCTGGGGGGCGCCGTACAGCTGGCTGGGCGCCACCACATCACTGCGGGAGGAAGCGTCTTCAGGGATCTTGCCGATCTCAGCGTTGAGGCTACGGAACTGTTCCGAGGCGGCACAGTCCACGTTGAACCACCGGTCACAGTACTGCTGGTTGAAGATGGTGCCGTTGGGACACAGGAAGGAGTCCTGGCGGCCGTCGAACGACAGATGTGGAAGACCTGGCAGCCGGCCCTCGTCGGCGGTGTCAGCGAAGTAACCTGGGAACTCCTGTTGCTCGCAGGAGAAGCCGGTGTCGGGTACAGAGGCCAGGATCGGGTAGTCTTCACCAGGGACGCCGCCGCCGGGGATGAGGGCGGCCAGGGCGGCTATGGGGTCTTCCTCCGCCACTAAGTTAGAGTCGTCTGACCTCAGGCCAGGGGCGTTGTAAAATAGCGAGGGGCAGGAGGAGGGGGCAAGAAGCTCTTGTCAGCGTAAGTTGCTCCCAGCAAGGCTGTAAGATTACGAGACGATATTTAGTATATGGACACATCGACACATGATAGTGATGCTGGTAGGTCATTGGTGCTGAAATATCAGACATGCAAATATTCGACAAACTGTAAGAAAATGAACAGTGATGCAGGACATCATTATCACTGTTGAATCCTGTAAGGTCGAGGTAGAAGGGTTCAGTGTACCAGTGTATCTTACACCCATCTCTTGTAGGGGAGTTATGTGTGGCATCACTGGTGTGTGTGTGTGTGTGTGTGTGTGTGTGTGTGTGTGTTACACCTACCCAGGGTGAGCAGCACGGTAAACACGGCCATTATGTGGTCACTTAAGATAGTGAGACGAAAGAAGTTAATAGAGAAGCTGTGTCTTGGCACTGTGCTGGTGGAGGTGAGTGCCTGTGCTTTATAGTGCCAGCCTCCACCTTTCCCCATGATCAAGGTTGATCTAGATGGTTCACAGGATAACGTTCACGACGGTGCTACTTCACTCACTTTCATCTTGTCCAAATCTTCACAGCCGAGCGTCTCATTGTGGATCACTTCATCAACGTCTTCAGCCTTGATTTCTAAGTCACTCTCTGTCTCTCAGGATATTTGGCTGTCAGGTGTAAATGTGTGTCTGTGTTTGTCGTGCGATCTAGTTTAACATTTATGGGGAGGTGATTCCTTTTATAAATATTGATATTATAAAAACCCAGTTTGTACTATATATTTGTCGTCCATTTTAGACCAGTGAAAGTTACGGCACTCCCTCTAACGCCCCTCTCCTCTCCTCTCCTCACCCAGACCAAATTTGTCTATTACCACAAGACGATATTAACATCACCACAATAAAATAAAATAATCAAAACACATCAAATAAAAGGGAAAAAAAACCTCTCTTTTTTATCCAACCTTCATGTTGTCCCAGGTAAGGCAGACACAGGTATACGTCAGGTAGTTCCTAGGGCGAGTGTCTGGCATCCACGAACACAACACCACAAGCAAAGATAAAATGAATCTTAACCATATTTAACACCTACAGGTAACTAATAGACCAACACCTACAGGTAACTAATAGACCAACACCTACAGGTAACTAATAGACCAACACCTACAGGTAACTAATAGACCAACACCTACAGGTAACTAATAGACCAACACCTACAGGTAACCATAGACCACCTTCAGGTAACTAATAGACCAACACCTACAGGTAACTAATAGACCAACACCTACAGGTAACAATAGACCAACACCTACAGGTAACTAATGACCAACACCTACAGGTAACTAATAGACCAACACCTACAGGTAACCAATAGACCAACACCTAGGTAACCAATAGACCAACACCTACAGGTAACTAATAGACCAACACCTACAGGTAATAATAGACCAACACCTACAGGTAACCAATGAACCTCAGGTAACTAATAGACCAACACCTACAGGTAACTAATATACCAACACCTACAGGTAACCAATGACCAACACCTAGGTAACCCAACCAACACCTACAGGTAACCAATAGACCAACACCTACAGGTAACCAATAGACCAACACCTACAGGTAACAATAGACCAACACCTACAGGTAACAATAGACCAACACCTACAGGTAACTAATGACCAACACCTACAGGTAACTAATAGACCAACACTACAGGTAAATAATAGACCAACACCTACAGGTAACTAATAGACCAACACCTACAGGTAACCAATAGACCAACACCTACAGGTAACCAATAGACCAACACCTACAGGTAACCAATAGACCAACACCACAGGTAACCAATAGACCAACACCTACAGGTAACAATAGACCAACACCTACAGGTAACCAATAGACCAACACCTACAGGTAACTAATAGACCAACACTACAGGTAACCAATAGACCAACACCTACAGGTAACCATTAGACCAACACCTACAGGTAACCAACAGACCAACACCTACAGGTAACATTAGACCAACACCTAGGTAACCATTAGACCAACACACAGGTAACTAATAGACCAACACCTACAGGTAACCAATAGACCAACACCTACAGGTAACTAATAGACCAACACCTACAGACCAATAGACCAACACCTACGAACTCCAGACCAACACCTACAGGTAACTAATAGACCAACACCTACAGGTAACTAATAGACCAACACCTACAGGTAACTCAATAGACCAACACCTACAGGTAACAATAGACCAACACCTACAGGTAACTAATAGACCAACACCTACAGGTAACCAATAGACCAACACCTACAGGTAACCAATAGACCAACACCTACAGTAGAATAGCACCTACAGGTAACCAATAGACCAACACCTACAGGTAACCAATAGACCAACCTACAGGTAACTAATAGACCAACACCTACAGGTAACCAATAGACCAACCTACAGTTAACCAATAGACAACACCTACAGTTAATAATAGACCAACACCTACAGTAGACCAACACCTACAGGTACCAATAGACAACACCTACAGGTAACTAATAGACCAACACTAGGTAACTAATAGACCAACACCTAGGTAACCAATAGACCAACACCTACAGGTAACCAATAGACCAACACCACAGGTAACCAATAGACCAACACCTACAGGTAACCATTGACCAACACCTACAGGTAACCAATAGACCAACACCTACAGGTAACCAATAGACCAACACCTACAGGTAACCAATAGACCAACACCTACAGGTAACCAGACCAACACCTACAGGTAACCAATAGACCAACACCTACAGGTAACCATTAGACCAACACCTACAGGTAACAATAGACCAACACCTACAGGTAACCAATAGACCAACACCTACAGGTAACCATTAGACCAACACCTACAGGTAACCATTAGACCAACACCTACAGGTAACCAATAGACCAACACCTACAGGTACCATTAGACCATTATTTCCAGAGATGATCTTCTTAGTTGAGGCAATTTATTCAATCAGCCATCTTGAGTCGTGATTTACCTGGTACGATGATTTTTCCCTTGAGTACGATGATTTTTACCGCTTGAGTACGATGATTTAACCTTGAGTACGATGACTTAAGTAGAGTATCTCCAAGGAACAAATCTCCATCTATCTCCAAGGAACAAATCTCCATCTATCTCCAAGGAACAATATCTCCAACTACTCCCAAGGAACAATATCTCCAACTACCTCCAAGGAACAATATCTCCAACTATCTCCAAGGAACAAATCTCCAACTATCTCCAAGGAACAAATCTCCAACTATCTCCAAGGAACAATATCTCCAACTATCTCCAAGGAGGGGTTGTCATCGTCTTGGAGGGGTTAAGTCATCGTACTAAAAAGCAAAGTGTTAAATGTTAAGGAAGACCTCCTCCTCCTCCTCCTCTTCTTCTTCTTCTTCTTCCTCCCCCTCCTCCTCCTCCTCTTCTTCTTCCTCTTCCTCCTCCTCCTCCTCCTCCTCCTCCTCCTCTTCCTCCTTCTCCTCCTCCTCCTCCAAGAAAAGGTATTGGGAAGGTTGCAGGATTAAAGTGAGTTTTATTCCTAACCTAACCAAATCCTAAGAAAATCCCATCCTATCCAACACTAGCAATAAGGAGTCCTCAATCCTATGGTTAAATTGGGTGTTTATTAGGACTGGAACCTCTTTAACTCATCTCTCTGAAGGCTGGGTGGGTGGGTGGGTGGGTGGGTGGGTGGTGGGCTAGTACGAGACCTCCCACCTAAACCCTGGCCATAAAGAGACGCTGAAGGTGAGAGATAGAGACCATTTGTACTTCTCTCTATTTGGACTCAGCAAAGTGATCACACGTATCGAGGCGCTGCTTTCTCCCGTCACCTCCAGTTAGTCAACACAACACCAGAGTGAGACAGAGGCACGTCTTGGTGTCTCGCGTCAGGATAGATAAAGTGGATTCGTTTACCTTCAGAGTTTTATTTACAACATGCAGATCTGTGTACACGTTGATGAGTAAATAAATAATATCGAGCAGTGCATCAGAGTATTTTGGGGGTATGGGATGGGAAGTAGAAATATAGAAAATTTAGCAGAAAATGAGTATAGAAATACTTTTCAGGAGGTCAGGTAATAGGAAGAAGGAAGTCCTAACTTATTAGATTTCAACAAAGATCAGAAAGGCTATTTCTCGTCTTCAGTACAAGGTGGTGGTACAGTGGTGGAGCCGGCCAGGGTGAAGTTAGAACCTGTTGGGGCTGTTGTAGAACTGAGAAGGAGGTGGGGTATCTTGACGCTGCTGGGGGGCGCCGTACTGCTGGCTGGGCGCCACAACGTTACTGCGGGAGGAAGCGGCAGCGTCCTCAGGGATCTTGCCGATCTCAGCGTTGAGGCCGAAGAACTGTTGTGAGGCGGCACAGTCCACGTTGAACCACCAGTCACACACGAAGTACTGCTGGTTGAAGATGGTGCCGTTGGGACACAGGAAGGAGTCCTGGCGGCCGTCGAACTGACAGATGTGGAAGACCTGGCAGCCGGCCTCGTCGGCGGTGTCAGCGAAGTAACCTGGGAACTCCTGTTGCTCGCAGGAGAAGCCGGTGTCGGGTACAGAGGCCAGGATCGGGTAGTCTTCACCAGGGACGCCGCCGCCGGGGATGAGGGCGGCCAGGGCGGCTATGGGGTCTTCCTCCTCCACCAGGCTGGAGGCGGCTGATCTCAGCTCCGGGGCGCCGTAGGAGTAGGCAGGAGGAGGAGGCGGCTGGTTATATCCTACCTGACCGTACGTCACTCCCAGCAAGCCTATAAACAAACAGCCGCTATTAACAACAATATATGTAAAGTTGCCTCCAGTGAGTCACTCTGGCTGCTGAGACTAAGTTAGTTTAAGGTTGGTTGTAGTGAAGAAGAAGAAGCTACATGTTGTACACTTACTGAGGGTGAGCAGCGCCATACACTTGGTCATCATTGTGTTAGTGGAGAGGCTGTGGTTGGCACTGTGCTGCTGCAGGTGTTGGCATCGTTTTATAGTGCCTCGCTGCACCTTTCCCTGGCTGAGTCAAGGTTGATCCAGATGACCAGCGCTGAGAGGGACGACCTGCAGGATAGTGTTCGCTCACCACCTGTTTCACTACACTTCGTCCAGTACCACTATCATCTCCTTATCAAGGATTCATTACAAACTCCTTTATATTATAGTAAATAAAATAAAAATGTCAAATTCTCTTTCATGGAACTTCGTAAAATGAATAAAGAAAGTTTTACTCCTGTATACCAGTATCCTCCATTGTTGACAAAGAGGGACAACATCTTCAGGGATGCTCTCACACCAACAAGGAAACACGATCCTCTCTCGGTATTGGTCACACACCTCGCCAAATGAGAACGCTCGGGAAGGCCACGAGTGATGCGATTGGTTAGTGAAGATCACCCAGCTGGTCGGCTGTTGGCTGGGTCTCTTCCTCACAGTCTTCCGCTCCCGTAACTAGGATGGTCAAGTCAGTGCTCGTGGGAGGTCGACCTTTCACTTCCATCCAGTTGTTTCATGACCTGATTTTTCCTTTAAGTGTTTCCAGAAGAGCGCGTGTTACCTCAACTTAGATAAGTGACCTTGTAAGTGTGTGACAAGTGAATAAAGTAACGTCTAGGTACAAGATAAACGCATCGCAGACTAGAACTTTGTACAGGAATCATTTGAGTACTAACTAGTAAATCAGACGCGTTGGTTCATAGACAATAGAAAAGAAGAAAATCAATTAAATTCGTTTGTATTGTAATTTACGATACTTATACCACCGAACCTGTTGTGATCTGGCCTTAACACACACACACACACACACACACACACACACACACACACACACACACACACAAACACACACACACACACCGAGCACCTGAGAGCCCACTTAGTTTTATTTACATCTGCATGTTTGTCTCGAGTTAAGAGATGTCGTCAGCTGGTCTAGTCCTTAGTGAGGTAATAAGTATATTTAGCTCTATAATACTCGAGAGGCTTATAACACACACATTAAGTTCTATTAGATATTAAATGTTTACTATTATTTAGAGCGATCACCTGCAGATTAACCCCCTTATAGATTATGTCACCTGATGATTAAACACACCTTATGCTACCTGAGGGGTTAAGTTAATTTAGAGTTAGGTTAGGTTAGGTTAATTTAGAGTTAGGTTAGGTTAGGTTAGGTTAGGTTAGGTTAATTTACCCATAACTCCTATTATGCATTGCAAATTTTGATCAAAGGACAAAATTAACATCAACAATTATTTCCCCCACTAATAAATATTTAGAAATTATCTTCACTATTGTCATAATGTTAACCATAATATAATATATAAACAGACAGCCATTAATGTTTAGTGAACAATAAAATTAAATATTTGACGTTAATGAGTTTTGCGTGGTGAACCGTCGACTAAGTTATACAATGTGTGTCTGAGGATAAATTTATGGCTATGATATCTCAAATATACGGAATGTATTTATAGAATGAAATGAAGATATTAAATTCACACGCTAATATGTAGGGTAGGGTAGGGCAGGGTAGGGTAGGGTATGGCAGGGTAGGGTAGGGTATGGTAGGGCAGAGTAGGGTAGGGTATGGTAGGGTTTAGTTTCAGAGTGGTTAATCTTCAGGTGATCCATTCATACATAAACACACTACATACACAGTTGAGTTACCCATAATAATGCAACAACTTCGTATCTTATGTAACAATGTTGAATAGATGACCTTTTGTTCGTGTATATCAAGACAACATTAATCATCACAGTCTAGAGGTCGCTTACACCACAAAATTAAATACGTCTCCCTCCTGATAATCCCTTTACTTTATTGTTTATTAAGAAGTTACGTAAAGAGTGGATTATTATCTTTGGTTCGTTTTATTTTGTTATGTTTCATTGATAGGTGGTGTTTGGTTCCTCCAGTGTGTGAGGTAAAGGTTCGTATTCCTATGGTCAGGTGGGTGTTGATAGGTGTTGCAGTGTTATGAGGGTTATTCATCTCGCCACACACACACGTCATGTAGCAAGGTGTATATAGGACATTCAGACAATACATTTATATATCTTTTTTATTTGCATAATACATATTTATATACATTTCGATAAATAAATTCCTTTGATCGAGCAGCACCACAGCGAAGGCGTTCACGGAGGAAGGTGAAGATGAAGTGTTAAAGAGTCAAATTTATGAGATACAGAAATGACGTAAATTACTGTTCATAAACTAAAGGGAAGCTGTAGGACTAAGTCGGCACACCACAAGGCGGTGGTACAGTGGTGGAGCCAGTGTGGAGTTACAACCTGTTGGGGCTGTTGTAGAACTGTGACGGGGTTGGGGGTGGTGCTGGGGCAGACTGACGCTGCTGGGGGGCGCCGTACTGCTGGCTGGGCGCCACAACGTCACTGCGGAAGGAAGCGACAGCGTCTTCAGGGATCTTGCCGATCTCAGCGTTGAGGCCGAAGAACTGTTGTGAGGCGGCACAGTCCACGTTGAACCACCAGTCACACACGAAGTACTGCTGGTTGAAGATGGTGCCGTTGGGACACAGGAAGGAGTCCTGGCGGCCGTCGAACTGACAGATGTGGAAGACCTGGCAGCCGGCCTCGTCGGCGGTGTCAGCGAAGTAACCTGGGAACTCCTGTTGCTCGCAGGAGAAGCCGGTGTCGGGTACAGAGGCCAGGATCGGGTAGTCTTCACCAGGGACGCCGCCGCCGGGGATGAGGGCAGCCAGGGCGGCTATGGGGTCTTCCTCCTCCACCAGGCTGGAGGCGGCTGATCTCAGCTCCGGGGCGCCGTAGGAGTAGGCAGGAGGAGGAGGCGGCTGGTTATATCCTACCTGACCGTACGTCACTCCCAGCAAGCCTATAAACAAACAGCCGCTATTAACAACAATATATGTAAAGTTGCCTCCAGTGAGTCACTCTGGCTGCTGAGACTAAGTTAGTTTAAGGTTGGTTGTAGTGAAGAAGAAGAAGCTACATGTTGTACACTTACTGAGGGTGAGCAGCGCCATACACTTGGTCATCATTGTGTTAGTGGAGAGGCTGTGGTTGGCACTGTGCTGCTGCAGGTGTTGGCATCGTTTTATAGTGCCTCGCTGCACCTTTCCCTGGCTGAGTCAAGGTTGATCCAGATGACCAGCGCTGAGAGGGACGACCTGCAGGATAGTGTTCGCTCACCACCTGTTTCACTACACTTCGTACAGTACCACAGCCAGTGTCAGGCCACGTATGATGAGCTAATTAATTATGTTCAGGAGAATAATAATTTACACATATTCTTAAGATAATTTCATGTAGTGAACAAGTTCTTTTTGTATCCTTCGTTCCCAGCTCGGCTTCTCACACCGCCAGGCTGATAGTTTCCTTCCGTCCGTGAGAAAACACATTTCCTCATGAGTGTCGTCACCACGAATCACTTAATGTTAACACCAAGGGAGGCCACAAGGTATCATGTTGATCATATAGAGATTAAGTATATGTAAGTCTCGTCCTCACAGTCTTCCGGTCCTATAACTGGGAATGGCCAAGTCAGTGTTGGAGGGAGGTCGACCTTTCACTTTCATACAGGTGTGTTGACCTGTTTTCACCAAGTGTTTCCCGAGGAGTCCCATGTTACGTGACCTTACATAAATGATCGTCCATATTTGTGTCTGGGAAGGAACTCAAGTGAGAGAAAATGGGACAAGTCTTCGTCCAAGTGAGGGAAATGGGTTAACAGTGAGATACTTAAAGTGACTCACACTCATACACGCTCGACTGAATTTTGTATTTTAGTGAAGGTAATGTACAGTAAACCCTCCCAATACCGGACTAATTCTTGCAAGTCTTGTCCATTATTGAGAGGATTCCGCTATTGAGAGAATTTACCGTATGAGTTCAAGACTGTACTCTGTCAGCTAGAGTACCTGAAGTATAAAACAACAGCAACAACAGATACAATTTCTTAGTCTATTGTATAACGTGACTTTCGTTTTTCCTCTCTATTCTACACCTCTCTCTCTCTCTCTCTCTCTCTCTCTCTCTCTCTCTCTCTCTCTCTCTCTCCTCGTATTACCTTACCTAACCTTATCTCCCAACACACCCCCCCCCCTCACGCCAGGTATCTCTTTCAGAGGTTAAAACACACCAGGTAACTAGTCATTACTCCTCGTACACCTGAACACACCATCACTTACCTGGTGCTGTATGAGGGGCTGCATCTGAGAGAGAAAATCTGTGTTAGTTATCTTGAAAATCTGTGTAAGTTATCTTGGTAGGATTACTTAATTTAGACTATAATTAAATCATCTAACTATCATGGGTCACAGGAAAATGTCCCTGCCTCCCTCCCTGCCTGCCTCCCTGCCTGCTTCCTGCCTGCCTCCCTGCCCTGCCTGCCTCCCTCCCTGCCTGCCTCCCTGCCTGCCTGCCTGCTCCCCTGCCCTGCCCTGACCTCCCTCCCTGCCTGCCTCCCTCCCTGCCTCCTGCCTCCTCCCCCTCCTGCCTGCTCCCTGCCTCCCTGCCTCCCTGCCTGCCCCTGCCTCCTGCCCTCCCTGCCTCCCTCCCTGCCTCCCCTGCCTCTCCTGCCTCCCTGCCTGCCTCCCCCCTGCCTCCCTCCCTCCCCTGCCTCCCTCTGCCTCCCTGCCTGCCCCCTGCCTCCCTGCCTGCTGCCTGCCTGCTCCGCCTGCCTCCCCCTCTCCCTGCCTCCGCCTGCTCCCCTGCCTCCCTGCCTGCCTGCCTGCTCCCTGCCTGCTCCTCCCTGCGCCTCCCCTGCCCTGCCTCCCCTGCCTCCCCTGCCTCCCTCCCTCTGCCTCGCTCCCCCTGCCTCCCCCCTCTCCCCCCCTCCCTCCCTCGCCTCCCCTGCCTCTCCTCTCCCTGTTCCCTGCCTCCTGCTCCACCCCTGCCTCCTCCTCCTGCCTGCTCCCTGCCTCCCCCCTGCTCCCTGCCTCCTCCCTCCTCCCTGCCCTCCCCCCCCTCCATCCCCGCTTGCCTCCCCACCTCCATCCCCTGCCTTCCTCCCTCCTGCTCCCTGCCTCCCCCTGCCTGCCCCTGCCCTCCCTCCCTCTGCCTCCCTCCTGCTCCCTGCCTCCCATCCCTGCCTCCCCTCCTCCCCGCTCTCCTCTCCCTCCCTGCCCTCCCTCCTGCCTCCCTCAGCCTCAGCCTCCCTGCCTCCTGCCCTCCTGCCTCCCCTGCCTCCTGCCTGCTCCCTCCCTCCGACTCACAGTGTCTCAGGAGCAGGGAGGCAGGGGAGGAGCAGGCAGGGAGGGAGGCAGGCAGGCAGGAGCAGGCAGGAGCAGGCAGGGGAGGGCAGGAGGGAGGGCAGGGAGCAGGCAGGGAGCAGGCAGGGAGCGCAGGCAGCAGGGAGGCAGGGAGGGGCAGGAAGGGAGGGAGCAGGAGCAGGGGGAGAGAAGACAGGGAGCAGGCGCAGGCAGGAGAAGACAGAGGCAGAGCAGGCAGGGCAGGGAGAAGACAGGGAACAGGCGCAGGCAGGGAGAAGACAGGGAAGGCGCAGGCAGGGAGAAGACAGGGAGCAGGCGCAGGCAGGAGAAGACAGGAGCAGGCGCAGGCAGGAGAAGACAGAGAGCAGGCGCAGGCAGGGAGAAGACAGGGAGCAGGCGCAGGCAGGAGAAGACAGGAGCAGGCAGCAGGCAGGGAAGACAGGAGCAGGCAGGCAGGGAAGACAAGGACATTTTAATGGACACATACATACACATTGAAAAAATCTGAACCTATATTACTATAGGCCTACAGATAAGCCAGGCCTACAGATAAGATATTACTCATAGGCCTACAGATAAGATATTACTCATAGGCCTACAGATAAGATATTACTCATAGGCCTACAGATAAGATATTACTCATAGGCCTACAGATAAGATATTACTCATAGGCCTACAGATAAGATATTACTCATAGGCCTACAGATAAGATATTACTCATAGGCCTACAGATAAGATAGCTTGAGTTAGGTTGTTAGTGTGACTATATTTCTATCTCATTTAACTACACAAGCCGGTAATAGACTCAAGAGTGAAAAGATCAATAATTAGTGTAACTATCGTAATGACAGCCTCGAGAACCGGGGAAAGTCATTCAGTATACAAGGTTAAGGTAAATGGTATCCAGTAAGTAGCTATTATATTTTATTTAAGAACTTTCACTAATATCAAAGTTTTTCTATCTATTTTCTCTATATATCGTTAATACAACTCTATAACAACTTTCTAAATATTCATGTCTACTTTCTCTAATATTTTAATAATTTTTTGTATGTATTCACGTGTAAATTATAATAAATCGGTAAATAAACTCAAGATTTCACTATAGCAAAAATATATATTATATTAACACAAGTTGTCACGTACAGGTAGCTTGGTGATAAGATGATATTTGGTGTTAGGAGAGAAAACAAGGACTGGGTTAGGTTAGTCTGTTGCTCCGGACAAACACAGGAACAAAGAAACTGCGGCAGCGTTAGTCTGAAACACCTCACCCTCCCGCAAGGAACTCAAGGCCACCACTGATATATTTTCTGATGCCAGGCCCCTAGACTCGTTTCTTCACGATATTTCTCATTATTTCTCATCTCATGGCTTTACAAACTCCAAATAATAACACCCATAAGATTTTTTTTATTCAATTAATACAATATTCAGGTAAAGTTATGTTAGTTTTGAAAAAGTTGTTTATTGATTTAATTTAAGTGTGAAGGTAATTGGGTTGAGGATAACCTGATTTACTGTAATTTCGTATTCTCTCTCTCTCTCTCTCTCTCTCTCACACACACACACACATACACACACACATATACGCAGATGTGTTTGTGTGTGTGTGTGTGTGTGTGTGTGTGTGTGTGTGTATGTATGTGTGTGTATACATGTGCGTGTGTGTATATTTGAATGCATTTATTTACCTTTACACCTACACATGTGAGGCTGTCCGTGCTAAATTGTTTACAAAGAGCATCTGTATACACACAGGTGTAAATAAGCCTCCCGGTAAACAAAAAATCACAAACAATAACAATGAGTCCTTTCTACCAAGGTGTCAGAGAGGGTGTGCTAACGTCAGGGAGGGTGTGCTAACGTCAGGGAGGGTGTGCTAACGTCAGGGAGGGTGTGCTAACGTCAGGGAGGGTGTGCTAACGTCAGGAGGGTGTGCTAACGTCAAGAGGTGTTGCTAACGTCAGGGAGGGTGTGCTAACGTCAGAGAGGGTGTGCTAACGTCAGAGAGGGTGTGGGCAACGTCAGGAGGGTGTGCTAACGTCAGGAGGGTGTGCTAACGTCAGAGAGGGTGTGCTAACGTCAGAGAGGGTGTGCTAACGTCAGAGAGGGTGTGCTAACGTCAGAGGGTGTGCTAACGTCAGGGAGGGTAAAAGCACGTCAGGAGGGTGTGCTAGCGTCAGGAGGTGTGCTAACGTCAGGAGGTGTGCAAGTAACGTCAGAGAGGGTGTGCTAACGTCAGGGAGGTGTGCTAACGTCAGGAGTGGGGTGTGCTAACGTCAGGAGGGTGTGCTAACGTCAGAGAGGGTGTGCTAACGTCAGGGGAGGGTGTGCTAACGTCAGGAGAGGGTGCTAACGTCAGAGAGGGTGTGCTAACGTCAGGGGAGGGGTGTGCTAACGTCAGGGAGGGTGTGCTAACGTCAGGAGGGTGTGCTAACGTCAGGGAGGGTGTGCTAACGTCAGGGAGGGTGTGCTAACGTCAGGGAGGGTGTGCTAAATTGCCAGGAGAGGGTGTGCTAACGTCAGGGAGGGTGTGTGCTAACGTCAGAGAGGGTGTGCTAACGCGTCAGAGAGGGTGTGCTAACGTCAGGGAGGGTGTGCTAACGTCAGAGAGGGTGTGCTAACGTCAGGGAGGGTGTGCTAACGTCAGAGAGGGTGTGCTAACGTCAGAGAGGGTGTGCTAACGTCAGAGAGGGTGTGCTAACGTCAAAGAGGATGTGCTAACGTCAGAGAGGGTGTGTGCTAACGTCAGGGAGGGTGTGCTAACGTCAGAGAGGGTGTGCTAACGTCAGGGAGGGTGTGCTAACGTCAGAGAGGGTGTGCTAACGTCAGAGAGGGTGTGCTAACGTCAGAGAGGGTGTGCTAACGTCAAAGAGGATG